AGACAAGGCTACACAATGTATCCGGACAGAAAAAACTCCTATTTTCAACTAGCAAAACCACATAGATAAATGTAATTCTGACCTTGATGGCTCACTAGAAGAGATTTCCAAACAGGTGGGGGAGGGGGAACTACCAAGCCATTCTGTACATGCTCTTTTCCTTAACACACGAGAGAAAGTTTAGGGGGAAAAAAGCCACAGGATTTCAGAGGTGTCACTACCACCTTTAAAAAGAAAAATGAGAAATATGAGTTAAATAATCTGTGTCTTCTTGTCCCTCATTACAGGCAAGAATCTGACCCTTAAACAGACCACTACAGAAAACATTCCATCACTTCCATCCTTCACTGCTGAGTGGCTTTGGGCTACAACTTGGAATAGTAAACTTGACCTAGCAGTACAAACATAAAGGAGTCTGAAAATAACCAAGACCTCTACACTTTCATTAGTCCTGTAAAAATTTCTTTACGTCTATATGATAACTGACTTGGACTGTTCCTGTTCAAAAAATATCAATGCCATGAAAAACAAAAAAAAAAAGCAAGGTAACTGTCTTACATTAAAGGAGATTTAAAGAGACATGAAAACTAAATGTAATACATGACCCTTGACAATGCTGGAGGTAACAAGCTATAAAAAATATTTTTAGAACTAGAAAAAATTTGAATACAGGCTATACATTATATACTACTGTATCAATGTTAAGTTTCTTTTTTTCTTTTTATTGAATTTGAGGTGATACTGGTTAACAAAATTATACAGGTGTCAGGTGCACAATTCCACAGCACATCATCTATACACTGTATTTTATTTTCACCACCCCAAGTCTCCATCCATTCAATTTTAAGTTTTTTGAAGGTGATACTGATATTGTGGTCATGTAGGATAACATCCTTGCTCGTAAGACATACTTTCTAAAATACTTAGGGATGAAGTACCAGTACTAGTTAACACTTCCAAACAGTTCTAATTAAAAGAAAACAAAAAACAAAAAACACCCTATGTAGAGAGGAATAAAGCAAATGTGGCAATTTATAACAATCAGTAAGAAAGCTGGATAGGTGGGGTATTCAGTGTAGAACTCCCATTTTACAACAGATTTGAAATTTTTTCAAAATAATAAAATGGAAGGATAAAAAAAAATTTTTAAAGTACTTAAAACCACCTTGAACTTGAGCGCTTATTGGGCAGACCTGGGTTCTCAGATGACCAGCACGGTAACCAGCTGGTTCAGATTTTTGGTACCTTTTTTATTCACTCCCAAATAATAATAAACTAAATGCCTGCACAACTTCTGGGAAACAGTGTGGTGATAATGAGGTATTTAACAAGAGACTAGTAATTAACATATTCATAACCTGGAATCTAGAATCCTACAACAGTTTTTAATAATAATGAAGCATATCTACATGTGCCACCTTGGCAAATATATTAACAGAATAAAGGAAACAGCAAAACTATAAAAAAAGTATGATCCTTTTTTCCCTACATATTAATATAAATTACTACTTAAGTTGCAGGTAGCATAATTTATGGGTTACTTTCATTTTTTCTGTTGCATTTTGCTTTCTGTTGCACTTGTGTATGTTGCTTTTATAACAAATCAAAATTAATAGACGCACACAGAAAATTATTCAAACAAAAATTCTACCAAAGCTGTAGCAGTAAACACCTTTCATTTTAGCTGAGATATGAGCTGGATGCCAAAGGCAGACCTAGGAATAGCTTCATCAAAACTATGAGCAATATTTATCATCAAATGTCAAAACAAAATGATAGTAAAGTATAAGAATATAGCCATTATGTACAAACTCATTCATTAAATATGCATTTACCAGCTACTTTTCACAGTATCGTAGTGGATACTGAAATGAGTAAGAACTAGGCTCTGCCAGTCAAGGAGTTTAGTCCCACTAGGGTGACCAGACACGTAAACCATTAACCAGAAAAAGAGCACAAAGAATATTAGAGGGGCGATGTACCATTCCAATAAGCATGGTGCTACGAAGACTAAGTAAGCAACAAAGCCAAAAGCAGATGAGAGATCATGCTGCGTACACCTTCAATCAACTCATCTCAGGGTGCTGCAGGCTAATAGAACACCCCCAAGCTTACTGCAGATTTTTACAATGATGTTTATTCAGATACATTAAAATTTAAATGAAAAATTTCATTCAAGTATTTATCAAGCATGGACTATTCCAAGAATTCTGCCCAGAGGCAAATTACATAGACAGTTAAAATTCAGTTCCCACCCTTCAAGGTGTTCATAGAAAAAGGCATTTCTTCTCCCTCTTAAAATAGAAATATGCCATTAACAAGCAAATTTGTGATGTATATAATATAATCATATATAATTACATCACATAGAAAACTGCCATTAATAAGCAATTAAGGATGAGGAACTTTTATAAAAGAAATACCATAAAAATCACCATTTATTAAGAACTGGGGTCTGCCTGAGCAAGACGGCTGCTGCCACATGGGGGATGAGTCAGCACCGAGTTACCGCTGGCTACTCTCTGTTCTCTCCCCAAAGCCTCCTTCCCTAGTCTCTCCTCAGGTGTCTCTAGCCCACTCTGCCCCCACCCACGCCAGAGACCAGGGGTGAATGGACAACGTGTGGCAGAGTATGTCACTGGGAAGAGGATAAAAGGCAATGTTTTCTCCATTAGCTATCCAGGTATATTTCTTTTATCAACCCATTTACGCATCAGATATGTCTCTGATGGTGAACATTATCACCGTGGAGAAACATAACGAGGTCACCACAGTTACTGTAATGATCGGCAAAGGAAACCATGTGAATGGGGTAGATTTTGAGAAGTTCAAAGAGCTGAATCTAAAAAAGAATATTCCAGAAGCAAATAGTGTGAATTTAATCAGTTTAGACAACTGTCCTGAAAATTAATGAAGAGTCTTCAATTCCCACAGGCAACTACGTCCTGAGAACCAGGCATGTCTTCTCTGTGGAAACTGATCAACAGCACAAAGAAATCACCACTTGTCCCTGCTCAAAATCCTTTGTCTCTTTCCATGTACTCAGTCTGTTTCCTCCCTGCCAGTCACTATTCAGGGCCTCTGTGGTGTTTCGGATTTCTGAGTGTTCATATAAACTGATTAAAAAAAATTAAAAAATAAAAAAAGAACTGATCCTGGAAAACAAACCAACCAACCTGATTCTGTGTCAGGAGTGTTTATACCACCATAAAGAGGGGTTAAAATTGTCCCAGGTTAAAAAGCTAGGTTTTGAATTCAAGGCTGTCTCTCCCAAGGTTCAGTTCCTAACATTATACTGGGTTGGCCAGAAAGTCCCCATGGTTTTTTCTGTAAAACTGAAGACACATTTTTCATTTTCACCAATAACTTGATTGATTTGGATATTTTGAGTATGTGGGCTACCTCCCACTATTGGTTCTAGTGGGTAGGGGCCAGGGGTGCTGCTAAACATCTTCCAATGCATAAGACAGCCCTAAGAATTATTTGGCCAAAATGTCAACAGTACTAAGAAACTTCACAAACCACTTTTGACACGTTTGATCAGTCACACCACCTTCCCCATACACTGCACAAGTCTTTTTTTGCATTTTGGTTGCATTTTTACCTTTCTTAAAGTAATATAGCATAATATACCGAAAATGTTGCATATTTTCTTCCATCTTCAATATTAAAATGGTGGCACAAAAATTCACCAATTTTGCTAAGTTTTTTTTTTTAATGTTTACTGACATGACAGCTGTCACAATACAATCTAACAAAACTGTTTCAAATGAAGTTAAAGACAACTAAACACTACCCGAGCCATCATATGTAAAAAACTAAACAAACTTTTTTGGCTAACCCAACATTATGCTGCCTTTTAACAAAAAAAAAAAAGGATTCCAAAATATTACAAATAGAAATATAGAAAACAGTACAGACATGTGCAGGACACAGCCAATGTGTACATAAAGATCAAGTTTTATGACTGCAGGTTATATAGCTGATATCTGCTCAAGTTTTAAACTTTGAATTAAAGGAAACAAGTCTTTCAAGAAAACAAACCTAAAAGGAAAAAGTTTGTATACAGACTGCTGTAATTTATAATTACATTACGGATTAGTGTAAGGGTCAGCATCGAATTTTCAGTTTCCTCACTGTCAATAGGTAGTCTTATGTCTACATCAAGAGTCAGGAAACTACATATAGCCCCATGCCAAATGCCTGTTGCTTATTTTTGTAAACAAAGTTTTATTGGAACACCACCAGGCCCATTCATCTGTGCACCCCGTCTATGGTTCTGTTGCTAGTTTTGGGAAATACAAAGTTTTACTGGACCACATCCAGGCCCATTCAAGAGGTGCATTGTCTATGGCTGCTTTCCTGCTACAATCACTAAGTGGAATAGTTGCGATAAAGATAGTATGGTCCACAAAACCTAACATTTATTATCTGGCCCTCTACAGAAAAAGTGTGCCAACTCCTGGTTTAAATGATAGCTACATATATCACAAATGGTAGAAAAATAATTAGCCTGTTCACTTCAGCTTTATTAAAGCTTTATTATGAACTCTACATGATTTAAGTTCTCTTCCTTTGTAATTAGTGTCACTTAGTAAATGCTAATGAGTTTTTGAAAATCTGCAAGTATGTTCACACTTCAGTTATTTTCCATAGAGTAGGCCTTACTTTAGCTGCCCGGTAATTTATCCTTCACAATATTATTATAAACAAAATCCTAATTAAGGCACATTTGCAATTACCCCACACATACTTACCCCTCTACTGCATACAATATACAAAGACATAGAAAATGAAAAGCTGAATGTGGACACAACAGCTGATATGACTAAGTATTTCCTAATACCCTATTCACAGTAGAACATCTCATTCAATTGCCATTTAGGACCAACAGCATCAGCCATCACCTGCTTGCTTATTAGAAATGCAAATTCATGGGCCTCATTCCAGGCCTACCCAGTCATTCTTATGTACACTAAAAGAGAGTTTATATTACTTACCTTGAGTGTGAAAAGGCTGATTCGGCCAGGCAGTTTATAAAACAGCCCCTCTCCTCCTCTTGAATTGGAATGTAGCATGGCATTGAGACACGCAAGAGGGGATGTCCCACTGTAAAAACATACAAAGATGAGTAGGTCACACAAATCCCTGTGTCTACTTACTCAAAGATCTAAGACCCCTCTGACTCATTCTTAAATCAATAAGAAGCGCAGCAAGAAATACAGGAAAAAAAAAAAGATCCCATGATAACAATTCCACTTTGAAAGTAGCAAAAGAGTGCCCTGGACAAGGTGACTCAGCAGGGCATTATCCTGCAAACAGAAGGGTCGTTAATTCAATTCCTGATCAGGGCACATGCCTAGGCTGTGGGTTCAGTTCCTGGTCCAGGCGCATGCAAAGGGCAACCAATTGATGTTTTTCTCCCTCTTTCTCCCTCCCTTCCCGTCTTAAAAAAAAAAAAAAAAAAAAAAAAAAAAGGTAAGAAAAGAGTAACACATGAAATTTACATAAATCACACCCAGAGAACCCAGGAGTTTTGATAAAAACACATTACCCAATATTTAAACAGTTTTTTTAATTAAAATTTAATATAAATTAAAAACAATACCAAGAGGGTCCTAGCCTCTCATGCTCAGGAACTGCCACATGACATTATAAACACAAAGACCACAGAATCAGTGATGCCGTCCCAAGAAAACAAGCATACCTCCCCCTCGTCCCCCAGTTAAATATTTTTCTAATAAGCACACAAAGGAACAGTATTTCATTTGCTTTTTCTCTGGTAGGATGAAGGAAGGATGGGTTTTATTCTACGCTTACCCAGAAACAAACATTTACATTTGAATATGTAAAAAAAAAGTCAAATGGATTTGGTACCCAATAGTGCTCAAACATTAAAATAAGAAAAGTTATTTCACTGTCCTGCTACAACAGTAGGCTGCCATGCAATGACAATTCATTGACTAGGAGGCTACTTACTGGATCTTAAAATAGAAAAGCTGTCAAAAATACAGACAACTGACCATTATTAATGTTAACTGAGCTTGGCACTAGCATGTGCTTAGTGGTTAGGTACACCTGTGTACCTTCTCTTTCCTCTTCCCAGCATGTTAAAAAAATATAATATATAAATATATTAAGTAGAGCCTCTTAGCGTTTTTCAGAACTAGAGGCCCTAATTTATGCAGAGTGTTAAAAATAATTTCCAAATCTAAAAAAGCCATTAAAAAATCTATTACTTATTCTGCTTTGGAACATACTGGATACTAAAAAAAATTTTACCAAAAAACCAATCTCTAAAAGAAACCTTGAGAAAATCTGGAGTATCAAGTGGGCGTGCTAAAATCTCTGTTACAAAGGGGAACAGCGTGCTGGCAGAATCCTTCTGTGAACAGTGTGACTCCTACACACTATACCTCTGATTACAAATTACAGAGCTGCTCACTCATCACAGCCTCATGCCTGCTTCAGAATTCCTGTAAGAGCAAGCAGCAGAAACAAGTTAAGGTTCTTAATCCCATTTGTCCCAAAGGGACTAATTTACCTTCTATAGGCATAGTGGTCCAACAGCAGTGCAGATGGCAGCATGATGGGAAACAGCCCATAAAAACAAAAATAAAGCACAATTATAACACTACACAATACATAGATACTATTTAAATGAATGTCACCTAGACAATCTTGATCTTCCCTCCCCACAAAATGTCAACTCAAGAGTGTGAACTGACAGCTGGAAAGTGAGTATCTTTTCACTCTAAGAAGATAAAGCTTAACCAGCAAAAACATATGCTGTTTATTCTGAGTCTCAAGAAGTGACTGTGTCAAACTTCCCTCTTTCATTTAAAAGAAAACCAGTTACTGGTTTCCATGCCTGCAATTCCTTTTGTATTCTAACTTGTTGCTTCCCTAGAAAAACTACCTCATAGGGTAACAAAATCAAGGTCACCCCCAAAATTCACTATATCATGAATGGCTAGAATCAACAGGAGGGGAAAAAAAGCCTGTGAATTTTATGGTGATAAGATCACCCGTCTTTGATCCTAAAACAAAGGACTTCAGAGATACAGTATAAAGAGAAGGGTACTTGTAGACTCCATACAGCCTATCAGAGTCCATCCCTTCTCTATTACTGAAACTTACAAAACAGACAAGAGAAAAAGTGCAGACTCCTTACACAAAAAAACAAGCTCCATATCAAGATATGAGGGAGAGCAAGAATGGGGAAAGCCACCGGACCTCGGATGAAAAGAAATGGATGTTCACACTCCCACCCTACACTCGGGAGGACACACAACCTGAGATATTCCACACCAACACCACACACTCGAGTGAGTATACGTGTACATGTATGCACATGCAGACTTACCACTACATTGCTAGAGAAAGACACGTGTACTATGAAACCTTCATGTTAAGCAACAAAAGGAATACAAACCTCATTTCCTTAAGTCCTTCTGCTTCTATGACCTGCAGAATCTGTTTTGGTGTCATTGGAGCATCTGAGTAGTTTTCCAGTACCTGGAGAAATATAAATGTTCTGAATTCAGTATACTATTTCCATTTATATCCACCAATCTATATCATGGGCTACAGTTCTGCTATATCACTGATGACAATTTAGATATTTCCACAGTTAAAATTACTTCAGAAACCAAACTATACATAGTTGCTGAAAACGACTGCAATTAGCTTAAATATTCTAATTCTCAATAATAAAATCACACATCATCGTGGCACACGTGTTATGACATGTAGGGTTTTAGCAATGTTGGTTACTGCTTAACTTGATAATGTTAATTATGACTAAACCAAAGAATACATAGTACTACACAAGAATTTATAAGATAGAAATGCATTCAGATTTTCTTTCCCAACAAAGTTTGATTAGTACCCACATTTTTAAATGTAGATTTTTGCCACTGAGTTGCAAAATTCAGGTGTTAACTGCCACAGCACAGTTTGCTATTTGGCAACATGATGCTATGATCCTACATGACTGGTGCGAGCAGAACAATGAGAAATAGAACATCTCATTTATGTTAAAATCATCTATACGTCATGGCAGTTTCTCAGGAAGCAACTGCAGCTCTCTGACTTTAAGGGGTTCAGTTGTTTTAGAAATGTCCTTGAGGAGAAAAAGACAGGCTGTCTACATCTTTGCACCGTCTCTACCTGTGCAGGTGCTAAGGTTACTCCAAACCATACTAACATCTTTGTAGTCATTCAACAACGGTAACTAAGCACTGCTCTGTCACAAATACTGAAATAACGTCAAGTAGGACGTCTCACAGGACAGCTGCTGAAGGTTCCCACTACGGAGAACATGCACCCTCAGCATGAAAAAAAGTCAACTTTTGGAGAAGTAGATGGTCAGATAAAACCCCCATTCTTAGCTTCTCTTTTTTTCAATTTATAGTCTCCTTGAAGAACACTATTATTTCTCACAATTTCAACTACTTCCTAAACTCCAATAACTCCCAGAATACTCTAGCCTGGATTTCTCCCCAAATTTTAGACTCAAATACTCAGTTCTGTACTAAGCATCCCCCCTTGATCATCTACTCTAATTCGTCTGCCCTCTTCTTCCAATATCCCCTACCTAATTCAGAAACCTAGGAGTCATCCTTCATTCTCACCTGTCCTCCAGTTCCCACAGCCAATTTCCTATCAGACCCAACACAACAGCCTCTTTGCTAATATCCCTGGTAGCAAGACCTGCTTTCCTCAAATCCAGTCTTACTCTGCTGCCATTCTTCATTCAATAAATACATGAATACTTTGTGCCAGAAACAATTCTAGGAATTCATCAGTAAACAAGACCAAATCCCTGCTCCAGCAAAAATAACCTGCTATAGCCGGAGGTCAACTCAACAAAACATGCCCTCATCACTTTCCTGCTTTAAAATCCCTCAACAGCAACTTAGCCTCCAGCTAAGGAACACAAGAGGACAGAGAACTTAAGTCAAATTCTGGCCCTCTAAACTTGGGCAAGTAACCTACCCAATCTCAGCTTAGGTTCCCTCATTTATAAAGGAAGGATATTGATGTCTTCTTCTCAAGAATTTTACAGATTAGAGAGAGTAAGTGCTTACAGTACCTGGCACAAAGTACGTGGTCACTGGCCCAACACATAAGACCCTCATGCTATGGTCTCTGACTGTCTCTCTACCTAATGGCCAAATGTACTATACAAACTTTATGTTCCCGTAACTACGTGTAGTTCTACCCGATTCCCACACTCACCACCCTGTAAATTCATTTTCTCCCTCTCACATCTCTGTGATGGGCCTAACTCCTACTCACCCTCTAAGATTCAGTTTAGAAAGCACGTTCCTCCAGGAAGCCTTCTCTAATTTCTGCCAGGAAGAGGTAAACTGTCTTTTCAGTGCCCCCATAGTTCCACAACACAAATAATTTATCTTCCAAAGCATAGCATTTGAGAGTGAAAGGAGGAACTGTTCATAATTATGCCTGGACAATAAGCAGGAACTAGGATGTCTGTTTACATTTATACATCTATGGTAGCATTTATCAAACTTGTAGTAAAATTCTATTCATGTGTCTAGATCTTCCCCAAATCCAGAAGACTGTAAGCTTCTCAGGAACAAATCTTACCCACTTTGTACTCTAAGAACTTAACTAAATACCAAGTTACACACTATTGACCTAAACCCACAACAAACCCTAGGACAAACTACAAATGTTCACTGTCACAGATATATTTCTTTGATGCTAATTAAATGTGAGCTGAGCTAATGAATTTTTGTAGGATCACTTTTTTTAAAGCAGCATGAATCTAAAAAATTAATTACCAATTATTTAAACAATAATTAGGAAAAGCCTGAGAATCTAAGACAGAGGAAACAAAATCTCTAAAGGGAAGCTGCATTAAAAAGGTACAAAGTATTCACTTTTCTCAAAAATGTATATGCCTCCAGCTTTTAGTATAAGAACAATTCAGCAGTGTTCTATTCCTAGCCTGTCTTTCTAGAGCACACTTTAAAGAAAAGGGGGGGGGGGGGATCTCTCTTCTCCTACTTCAAAGGAAAAAAAATGTTTGATGTAAGAATGGTCAGTCATGAATCAAAGTGAAAGATAAAGCCCTGCAATGAAGTTTCTCAAAGCCAGGGGGAATCCATTTAAGGGCATTCAATCTAAAGGGAAATCCCCTTGGCTATTTTTTTCTAAACAAATTGTTCCTAAGAAGCAGGAGGATTTACACCCGTCCAACCCCCTAAAGTCTACCTCTTATGACTAGGACAATACTAAAAAAATGTTTGCAAGAAGAACATCTACTTCTCAACAACATAATTAACATTTGCAAAAAACAATCTCCTGGGGCATATTGCTCCACCAAAATTCTCTAGAAATCTTTTCTTTCCTACCAAAATACTTTAAAGGGTTCCCAGTATCACTGGCCATTTGAACAAGGTCAGAAGTATTATAAAACGCCCCCAAGCAGTGTATCTGATTGCTGTGGCAGGCACTTCAAATTCACCTGTCCACAGAGTAGCTTAATCTACTGCCCTCTCCTTTGGGCTTACTCTAGTTAAACTTCTCTCTGTCCTGTGTAAGCTCTCACAAACCCTCCAGTTTGTTACAGGATTTTTTTTTTTTAAATGGGCAGAGAACTCTGCAAGTTCTCCCTCACCCACCAACAAAAATTTTAAAACAAAAAACAATAAAAAGATATGCAAAATCATGCCCTATGTTCCCACACATTGTCTCACATTTTTAGGTGCACCACGAAGTAAGTTCTATTCATGTTACTATATTTTAATGAAGAGCCACAGGAAAAAAGAGAAAGAACTTATTCATATAATCAGGCATAAATCTGAACTAACGATAAAACAGAAATAGCAACCTGAACTGAGGTTCAGATCACAGTAAATTGAAGAACCTGAAGAGGCTTAATAGAACAGTGGACCTCAAATTCCTCAAGTCTTTCAACCAGTAAGAGCCAAACCAACAGAGTTTTGAGACAAATAGACTTTAGAATTCTGTAAGAACATAAATAACAGGACTTAAAGGTACTTTCAGCTACCTTTAACAAGTAAAACTCTGGCAAGCAAATTTCCTTTTGATGCCCCGAGCCTTAAACACCTGCATAACAGGAACTCAGGAAAGAATTTCAATGAACACCCAAGACTCAACCTAGGGAAGAGAGCATATCTTTTTGGGTCTCTTCTACTCTCCCTTTGGCCTAAATTTGTTTTCAGATGAAGGAAAACTGGAGGAATCCTGAAAGCCAGCAAAACTTTCAGTTCTGATTGAACCAGAAAAATAAATTAAGAACTTCAAATTTCATATGCCAAAACAAATTAACGGAAGCAAAAAACCTCAGCATATAAACAGTTGTTATTTGTTTCTTGGGCAACAAATGCCCAGGAACACCAGTGAAAATTATCCTGTAAACCAGCTTTAATTCTTGCCAATAACTGAGTTCTACAAAGTTGAAGAAAAAGGTGTACACAACACATTTGAAACAACCCTCAACACACTCTTACACAACACCTTTAAGACAAGAACCTCAGTTCTGAATAAAATACGGGATCAGAAGGTTAAGCTTCATCCATCATTGAAAGTGAACTATAGCACTTACATATAAACTTCAGGATGTCAAGAAACAAGTAATGTCCACCGGCATTATAACCCTGCTTTGTGACAGTTCTGAAAAAGTGACATCTTTGGGAGAAGTAGAACTCGTTACTATTATCAGCAAGATTTTGTAAGAACATGTCCCGAAGTGTTTGTTTTGTGGATGCAAATTCAAAAGAAAGACATCTCACTAACAAGGCCTCTTGACAGACTTTGAAAACAGAAAATTCACAACCCCCCTCACCAGGCAGCTTCAAATACTCAAATTACTCTCTCCCCTGCTAAGTCCTCAGCGAGCAGTGTCTTCAGAGACACTTGGTCTTTGTCCAACACTTCATGTATACATGCACCAAGACACTAAGGAATAGACAACACACACAGATACATTCTTTGCAAAGTGCAGTGAGCCCTCTGCCTAGCTCCACTCTAGCTGACGAGTAAAACGCTCTAGTCAGCGTTTCTCAGAGTGTGGTCCGTGGGCCACCTGCATCAGAAATCAACCTGGGCAGCTGGTTAAAATGAAGATACTCAGGCAGTACTCCAGAATCTCAGACTCAAGTCTTAAGTAGGCCTTAAGACGAGCATTCCTAACAACCTGCCCAGGTTGTCCCCACAGAACACTAAAGTTGGATGCTCAGGGTTCAAGAGGGAGTAAACACTTGCTTCCCTCCACACACCTGGTTTAGATTGTGAAAGCTCAAAATGCCACTCGCGTCCTTGGAACTGGGGGTGCTTCCCCACCCCTGGAGTCAAACGCACTACCCTGTAGCCCACCAGGAAGCAAAGGAGGAGCTTCCGACCCTTCCCGGAAACCTAACTCCCCCGGACTACATAAACCAAGCTTTCCCAGACCCCCAGACGCTGCCAAATAGTGGGGGAGGGGAGGTTGGGGCCGTGCCGTCCGGAGGGGGAGGAGCCAGCCTGCCAGCTCGCCCCTCCGCAGGAATTTAGAGGTGGGGGAATCGTGCAGAAAAAGGCGCCACATCCAACCCGGCGGGGGACCTCTCCCCACCCAACGCTATGGGGGGTTGTCGAGTTCTTGAGGAGGGCGGCCCCGCCCCTCTTGCGGTGGGCAGGGCTTCGCCCCTCCCCCTCCCGGTGGGGGTGCGCGGCGAGCCCACCCCCACGCCCTCAACCGAGCCCCCTTGGGCGGCCCGCCTCACCAAGCGCGCGGCCTCGGCCCACGTGCGCTCCTTCTTCCTCTTCTGTTTGTCCTTCATCCTCCTCCTCCTCCTCCCAGGCGGTGGCGGCGGCGGCGGCTCCACGCGGGACCTCCCGGCAGGGCGGGCTGGGGGGGCGACGGTGCGGGGTGGCGGCGGCAGCGGCGGCGGCGGGGGGCGCGTGGCGGCGGCGGCGGCGCGCGAGAACTCGGGTGCGGCCGGGGATAGGGGGCGGGCGCGCAGGGACCGGCTGGAGCGAGACCCGGCGCGAAGGCGGTGATGGGGGAGGGGTGGCGGCGGCGGCTCCACGCGCCCGCGCTGCGTCAGTCGCCCACGGCGGCGGCGGCAGCGGTAGCAGCAGCAGCAGCAGCCCCACGATCGCTAAGGAATGCGGCGGCTCTGCATAACCACGGGGTCAGAGGTCACGGCTCCGGCCTCCGTTTTCCCGCTCTGCTGAGGGGCCAAGACAGGACTGGCGGCGGAGCGGGAAGGCGAGACGCGGCTTTCCTTTCGGCGCCCGGGTGTGTGAATGTCTGCTGTGGGTGTGTGTGAGTGTGTGTGAAGAGTGAGGGGGGGGAGTGCGGGGGGTTTTTTTTTTTTTTGAACAAAAACAAACCGAAAGGGCTACTGGGAATCGTAGTCCCGGCTGCCTTTCTGGCCTCCCCCGCTCCGGAAGAATATGGCTGCATGAAAGGCCTGGACCACACTTCCCGGGGTGCCCCGCGGTTCGCCTTTCCGCCCTCCCCCACCCTTCTCTCGGCCTCTCAGAACTCGGTAAGGAAGAGAGACTGGCAGGCGTTCGGGGAAGGCTGGGCGGAGTCTCGCGATGTGCGGGAATTGGATGGGGGCCTGAGGCATTCTGGGAGGCGATGCTGGGAAGAGGCGGTGGCTGGGCACCCCCCCACCCCAGCCACGTTTAACCCCTTAGGTGCTTTTCGCCACCAAGCCGCTGGGCGGGTTAGGGTAGGGATCGAGAGTTGATAGCTCTACTCCGAGCACCCACTTTATCCCTCTACCCGCCAAAGTAGTTCTCACTGACATTTCGATGGCAAGAGGCAGGGCTCTTTCCCTTTTGATGCTCCCCTAAATGACTCACTGCTGCATAATAATGAGACAAAAAACATTCATATCAGTAAAACGGTTATTCCACAATTGATAGACCTAGACATTTCCCCATTTCTTCCTGTGTCTTCATATCGCTATATGTTTACAGAGACTGTTCTTGCAGAAGCTGCACTTAACAGCCTAGAGCGTTGGTGAATTTGGCGATATGGTGACAGGTAGTGTAAAGAACTTGGATTTGGGTGCCATAATGCACAGAATGCACCTGAGGCCTTTTTCGAACGGTACCTTGGAGAGAAAACGGCCCTGAGGTCAAACAGACCTAGACCGAATCCTGACTAAGCAAGTCCCTGGCTATCGACCTAAAATTTGGGTCTTAACCTCTTTGAGCCTCAATTTTCTAGCCTATATTAGTCTAGTACCTCATAGCATTTTTTTGCATTAAAATAAAAACAACTGGCAGATTGAAAGAGTGTGTGATGGGGTACCTTTCTATTAGATCCATGTAATTTGGCTGCTAGCTTAGAACAAGTATTTGATCAGCTGGGAGACGATGGGCAATGGTACTTCACCTCTGAGCCTTGTTGCAAAGCATGGAACAAAATGAAGTAGCCGACACATTTGTTTCCTGTTCCTATTTGTTGAATCAATGTCCAGAAACATGCTTTGAATCAGTTCTTACCTGGATTAATGGTCAGCTCTTAAGTAACGGAAGCAGTCAATGGCCACCTTTAAAAGGTTTCCCTGGGCGAGGAAACATACACTCTACTCCCTAGTGTTAGCACAGGGGAGAGCCAGTGCTGAGAGGGGATATTGCCCGGCCCAGCACCGCGGAGTTCAGTGCTCCTGGTTCTAACATTTGTCACACAGGCTTCCATAAAGCCCAGCAAAGTGAATAGACTGTAGAATGTGAAGTAAGGCATATTTACAAATCTTCCCACCCCATCTAACTTTACCCCAACATGGAGGAAAGGAAGAACAACCAATCTCCCACCCCAACCATCAAAAAATGGTTGGCCTAATTTTTTACGAAGAGTTTTTTGTTTCATTTTTGTTTTTAATTTACAGCTGACACAGTAACCCAATTTGACAAGTCATTCCACTTGTTTCAAACATTTTCTTCTTGAGTAGCTTCATCCCCTGCCCCCGCCCCCAGACTTCCAAGAAGTAGCAAGATTCACTCTAAAATGTACATGTTTACTACAGGAACTATGGTAGAATAATGTCCTCCCTCACCCCACCCAAAACTGTGCCATAGTCCCTGGAGCCTGTTAATTTGTTAAATTCCACAGCAAAAGGGACTGTGCAGATGGAATTATGGACCTTAAAATACAGTGATGATCCTGGATTATCTGGGGGAGCCCAAAGTAACCATATGGACCCTTAAAAGCAGAGGAGGAAGGCAGAGAATCAGATTCCAAGTTTAAGGTGAACTTACCCCACTGTTCCTGACTCTGAAGGGGACTATGAGCCTGGCAATGTAGGCAGCCTCAGAAGCTGACAATAAGCTCTGCCAACAAGTAATAGGACCTCAGTCCTACAACCTCTTAGAACCGAATTTTGACAACCGGAATGAATAGGAAGTAGGTTATCCCACACTAGACTCTAGAGTCTGCAGAAAGGAACGCAATCCTGCCAACACCTTGATTTTTAGTCTTTTCAGATTCAGAGAACCAACTGAGTAGCACTGTGGTCAACTTCTGGTCCAAAGAAAGTGTGATATGTAAATGGATGTTGTTTTAAGCCACTATATTTGTGGTAACTTAAAATAACTAAGGAAAGCTAATACAGGCACTATGAAAAACACCTTTATCTAATTAGCACCAGTACTGCCTAGTTTTCACAGTTGGGTCAAGCCATGGGAGAATCCAGATGTTAACATTTCAAGGTTTGTGTCCTTGCAGAATAAAACAACCTAATGACAACATCACAGTTAAAAACAATATATTCAGACGACTGTACAAGGTATGAGTTGAAAAATTGGCTGAGTCATTAAACTTTAAGTAGCTGTGATGTTTTTTTAAAGCCAATGAGACTAATGAGTGTCTTGTCAGAAGCACCAAAAAACAAAACTATACATTTTTTGGTGTCTGTTTTTCTGGTTTTATCACAGTGTCTTTGAAGTCAAACAGGTGTCACAGGACAGTGTAAGATAAAGAGGACTGATATTCAACCCTGTTCCGTTTGGGGATGAGTCACTGTTTTCAAACTGCAGTTAAGAGCAAAGCACACATTCAGGAATCTGAATAACAAACATCACCAGCAGACACCTAAGAATTCCCAAGAGGATACACCTTCCTCCCCGAACCCCAAACCTCATTATGAGATTATGTATTGCTACTGGCTTTGAACTTCAGCAGGCCTGGGTTTGAGTCTTCTTGCAGTCATTCTCCAGCTGTGTGACCTTGGTCAAGTGAAGAAACCGCTCATTGACTCAGTGCCATCATTTGGACAACAGTGTACGTAACAACTCAAAATATGAAACTGGGATTAAATGGGAACCTTGTGAAGCATTTTGCACACAGTCGACTCAATAAAGGCCAGACCTCTGCCTCGGAGAAGGTTTAGTGTCTGAAGTGTAAAAAGTGCCTCATTTTTTTAAGATTTATTTTTTAGAGAGAAAGGAAGGAAGGGAAGAAAGGGCGGGAGAGACACATCAGTGTATGAAACATCAATGGGTTGCTTCTCACATGCGCCCAACCAGGGATCTGGTCTGAAACCCAGGTGTGTGCCCTGACCAGGAACTGAACCAGTGACCTTTTGGTTCATAGATTGGCATTCAACCCACGGAGCCACACCAGTGGGGGCAAAAAGTGCCTCATTTTTATACTTCAGTCAACCAAGCCCTAGAACAGTTTGCTGCCCTAACAAATGTTGTCTTTCAATAACCCCATTTTGAAATTAAGTTGAGATACAGAGAGGTCTACTTATCTCCCCTTGGTGCAAGATGATTAAATGAAATCACATTACTAAATTTCCAGCCTAGCAGATAATCAACAAACGTATACTTCTTCCGGGCCCTCTCTCACTTCATTTCTTTGTATGATTTTTGGTTTAGTGTCTGTGCTCTTGCTTTCATCATCACTCTGCCAACATCTGGCACAGTCTTGGCACAAGGTAGGCACTCAGTTGTTGAATGAACGGCGGTATTCAATAATCACTGCACAAATTCCCAGAGGACTAATTTCCCATAGAATTAGCCCTAAACAGTATTTAGAACTTGCCCAAGCAGAATTGGGAAAGACTAAGGCAGGATTCACCCAAACATATTTATGCAAGTTGTAAAGGTGCTCAGAAATAGAGACTTCATGACTTCACTGTTGTCTTAGGCACTGCTCATGTGATGAAGGGTCCTAACTCGACTTACCTGCCATTCATCATTTAAATCAACTCCTGTTTTTCAGCCTCCCATGAGGCTGAAAAAGGCATTTCAATTCCATTTTATTCTGCCAAAATGTTAATAATGGTTATTTCTGGACTGTAAGACTATGGTTAATTTTTTTTTTCAACAAAGTATTACAGTTTTTAATTTGAAAAGTTCTTTTTCAGTTGACCCACAAAACATTTATCATTTAAAGTGGTAAATGTAATGTTTTTAGCTTCTTTACACTTTATTTTCTAAATCTTCTAAAATGAGTATGTGCTACTCATATTCATGTGATGAAAAAATAAAAATTCTAATGCTCAACAGTGTGAGAACGTTTTTAATAATAAATTCTTTTCATTTTACTTTAAAATATTTGTGAGACTAAACCCCCACTCCCGAAGTGGCCACAAAGGATGACCTGAGCTAGTTTTTGCCAGAATTATGGAAAATTACAGCCCCCACCTGATTCTTTAAGGTTTTTAGGTGGAGATTGCAGGACTATACTAAGGAGCTTATCCCAATTTTTAATCTCTCCTAATACCAGAGATATGGATGTACTCCTATCTACCATAAATCTTACTGGCCTCAGTTCAAGCCAGTTTCTCTATTCTTTCTCTGTGAAGAAGGAAAAGAAACTTTAAAGTGTTTTGTAACACCAGAATTCTTAAAGTGATGGTGCTAATGTAATGAGATTGTTAGATGAATTATTTCTTGATTTTCAATGTTTTATAATGAAAGTATTAACTTATTCCGTGCCCCGAATGGCTTTTCTTCTTCCTGTTCTTTGCTAATGTCTGAATGTGAAGTTAAGGCCTTTAGCAGGCCCTAACTCTTGAATACCACAACCACCACCTGTGGGAGTGAGAAAACTGGTAGGGCCAGTAAAGAGAAGGCAGATCACACAATTGCCCAAGGTCACACAATTTGTTGCTAGAGTTAAGATTCAAACCCAAAACTCATTCCAAATTCTTTCTAAGGCATTGCAGGCAGAAGCCGGCCTTTAAAACAGGCCTTGACATTCACATCCTTTCTAGTTCCTTTCCACTTGAAATAGGGCTGAACTGTGGAAGCAACAGATATTGTAGAAATGACCATGTGTGGCTTCTGGGGCTAAG